TTACGAGTACAAATCTCTGGTGGTTCAAAATTTGACTTTCAGCGTAAGCACACAGATCCAACAAGAACAATGATACTCACGTTCCCCATATCAAAGAAATCCGCTCCTGGATTTATAGACTGCAGTCCTTCTAAGAGCAATTGGCCCTACAATAATATGGACGGTTAGAAGAGGATAATGCAATCTATTAGTGCTTACCTTCGATTTAGTTCCTCTGAAAACGATAATCAGCTGCTTGGCGGTTTCTGATACGGCTGCAATAAATCTCGAAATTGTTACTTTTGGTAGCCTACAAAGCCTTCAGAAATGTGCGATACCTATGTAGCTCTCGCATGTATTGTCCAACTCGTCGCAGTCCTCCTTGGTTGTCGCCACGATAACATGAGAATCGTGCAGCGGGAAAGTTCTAAAAAAAGGAAAAATTCATTAAACTTAAACATTTTCGAAGCTAAGTGTAAAAAGATTTTTCTGCAAGGAAACTGCTTTTAGAGAGTTTTGCAGGTAGTAGTAGAGAACGTGCTGAAACATTACTCATTATTGATTTTGCCGTGAAAAAAACTTAACACCCTTTACGGATTCGAAGAAAAACTATAAGGTCGCAAGAACTGAACACTAATAAATACTCTAATATATTTTTATTGTTACGCTTTGCTGGAGAGAGTCTGACAATTGCGGTACCGTCGATCGTCCCGAATTGTGACAACAGGAATTCATCACAAACCTATTGAGGCACTCTTCCTGCTGGTCTCCATACGCTCCCGCTGCCATATTCAACATTCTCCTGGCTGTCATCTCATCGTAATTAGTTCTTTTACCGAGGAATGGGAGTGCAACTGCGATGTTGAAGCAGGATATGATGTACAAGAGCTGCATCACCTAAGAACAAGACATTATGTTATGTCTATTGGATATCAGACGTAATCTATACGATAAGAACGGATGAGCGAGATATGACAAGACCGAGCAAGCAATGAGACCCTATATAAATCATTTTTCTTGTACTAGTATAATGAAACA